TCCTAGCTTGCGGCTCTGCGCAATTCTGACGCCTCAGGCCACAATCGGGGATACTAACGCCCCGGCCTGCACCTTGTGTCATTATTATCTATCTCATCCCCAGTAACTTCGTAATCATCGACGCGCCATTGGCAGCCCAAACCCGTTTTATGTCACGACCTTCACGCCCATACACTCGATTCAATTTCAAACGCCATTGTTCCCTCGGCTCAGAAGCTATCGCATTGCTTCCGGTCCATCATCATGTCGACCCGTCAAGCGGCATTGTGAGCACCAGCCCCGAAGATGTCGAAGATGCATGACCCAGACCGGGCGGAGCCGTTATGCTGACAGTCGTCACGACAGGTCGCTGTACCGGCGTTCGCTGAAGTTGGCTCTCGACTGGGCTGTTCATCGCCATCTCTGGAGAGGCCAAGCTTTATACATCCGCTCGCTGTTCGAGGCCAACCGATCCGTGACGGATTCCAGACAGAAGAGAGTGAGTGACGCGCTCGGCAGACGTCGCAAATTCAACGAGAAACGGACGCTGATTCGAGCTTTCGCAGGAACTTCTAGCCCAGACAGAGAAATTGCTGTCGAAATGGAAGCACCCAGAGCCCTACGTGCATCCGACAGCACCTGGCGGTATGTCGCGATTCCCACCCCCCCAGACAAACGATAGCACTTCACGAATAGCACAGACGATGCTGATAACGATTGCACAGGTTCCAAATTCGAGCGCAACCTCCGAGCACCTATCCTTGACCGTAAGTCCCCAACATGGCGGACATTGCACCAATTCCTTCTGACAAAGACCTAGCTCCACCCCCATTGAAATTCTAAGCAACTAGCGAAGGCGCGGAAGGGAGAAAGACAGGGACTTCAACGTACGCGACGTTTTAACTGCACGACATAGAAATGCAACCATGTGGAAGCTTCAGTGCGCTATTGTGAGAACACTATCTCGGGGGCTATGGAACAGACCAATTGATGTACAATCGTAACAAGTATGCCCCGGTTGGCCAAAACAAGCCAAGCGGATGCCTACGCGCACGCCGTTCAGCCCACAAGCATAGCTTCTCCCCGCCTCTATGAGTTTGTATAATACAGCACCGTCATCCGGCTATCATGGTCTCGAGTCGTCGTGTCGCAATAAGTCGCCGTAGCGGCATGAAGAACCGAGTAACTAGCATTTCTGCTAGTCCCTTTTGTGGCATCACAGAAGAGGCAACACCCCGACGGTTCGAAGAGATACATGCCTTGCCAATCAGCGTGGAGAAACGCAGCTTCATGGACACGTTGCATATCAATCATATCTGCGTGTTTCTGTCCAACCTCATGACTTTCTAGACAGTCGCCAATTGATGAAACACTGCAGCATACCGAATAATCAGGAGCCTTTACGAAAAGGTAGCATCATCCCAACGTGCGAAACATGATCTTCAAAAGGTATTCTCATTCGTAACCATAGCTTCCTGCCGTGGTATTATTGTACAACCCAAACGTGAAAATCAACCGTGAACCCTGAACCGTGACCCCGATGTCATGACAACCCAAAGCAGCCGACCAGCACGAAAAAAACCCAAACCCGACACCCGTTTACAACTCTTGGCTCTGGTTCTTGCCAGTCTTGCCAGTCTTCTTGGGCAGCAGGTCTTAAAACACTGTTAGCGACTGAAAGAAGGATCGATGACAGAAGGTCAACTTACTCTGGTGAATGTTGGGCAGAACACCACCCTGGGCGATCGTGACGTGACCGAGAAGCTTGTTCAACTCCTCATCGTTGCGGATGGCGAGCTGCAGATGGCGGGGAATGATACGGGTCTTCTTGTTGTCGCGGGCGGCGTTGCCAGCCAGCTCGAGAATCTCAGCGGCGAGGTACTCAAGGACTGCGGCGAGGTAGACGGGAGCACCAGCACCGACACGCTGAGCGTAGTTACCCTTGCGGAGCAGACGGTGAACACGACCGACGGGGAATGCGAGACCGGCCTTGGAGGAACGACTGAAGGATGCGTTAGTGGATGGAGTTCGAGCTCGAATCAGAGAAGATCGCATCATAGTGTAGACGCGGCATTTCTTGAAAGCCCCGAGTGAAAGGTAATAACTTACGATTGCGCGTTCTTGGAACCGCTGGCCTTTCCGCCGGACTTGCCGCCTCCAGTCATTGTGAATTTGGTATTTGGGGTTGGGTTGTGTGAAAAAGTTGAATAATGAGGTAGACGCGTAAAAAGCGACTTGGCTGAAGGCTGGCTTTGAGTTGGGATGGAAAAGTGAGATGAAGATGGAAGAAAGGGCGTTGATGGTGGGGAGTGAAGAAGTTAAGTAGTTTTCGCGTTAGAGGAGCTCGATCACGGATCACCAACGCGCGATTTAGCGCTAAGCCCAAACCAGAAATTCGATGTTGTGGTATACTGGTGCAGGCAGGTGCGGTGCATCATTTTTCTGGGCCCCCGTGCTAGGAGGAAGGTACGTACCTCTTATCAGTCCTCCCGCCGCCCGCAGCAGTGCCGCCTCTTTGGTGGACACAAGCTATGGATAAGCCTTAAGGTGGGCTGCCAGCCTGCCAGACGCAACTTCCTTTGACACAGACTCACTGAAGCAAGGTAACGATTGCGTCCAGATGCGATCAATGCAGGGAAATAAAACCCCCCGCGGTCCCGCTCCTCTTTCCACAAACAGTGCCGGGACGTGCCCACGTCCCCTTCCACTTCTTAACAACTTTTTTTTTCCTTTTTTTGGTGTGGCCATTTCCACTTTCTGCTTATTCCCCCCTTCCGCGCGGGATTTTGGTTTTCGAATTATCTTACTGGCTAGCAGAACCGGTCATCCAGCCACGTCTTGGCCACCTTCTCATACCTATTTACCCCCATTTCCCCTTGACCTTATTTACTCGGTGAACCGGCACGACACAATCAGCTGGGCACCTTACGACCTATCGGACTGATGCGACGCACTTTTGTTCTCTCGATGTCGTGTGTTTTGATGAACTACAATGTGGCATATTTTTTTTTCCCGTCCTGTTTTTCGTTCCTTCTTCCCGTACAACTGCAACCAGTGTTCTCATTTCAGGAAAAGAAGAACCCCGAATTACAATTTGAAAAGTGATCCAACGAAAATAATCGACTTTTGATTGTTGATATTAAGAGCAGAGATTACCCCGAGGCATATTTGCCAACCATATCCGAACTCCGACGTACTTTTTGGAATGGAAAGACAAATGGGTTAACCTCAACCACCTTACTCTATGCGAATTATCTGCTTCGCTATCTAGTGACACTTCGACCCCGTATGACTTGCATCCAAATGGATCTCAGATCTACTGGAACCCGCTGTATAGCAGGAATATAGTCCGATACATGTAAAGAAGCCTAATGAGACCCAGGAACCTGGGCCTCACATGGTCCATCGTTCGGCTCCATCCCATATCGGGTCCGGAGAAATCTTCGAATCGACTGCCCCGCGTCCTGTTTGACCCCGTCGTAATCGAGGACAGAGCCTCACAGAGTGCCTGATACAGCGACCCCTGCATGCCGCTCGTGGTGTTTCTACAGCAAACGGGCCCAGCCTTGTGATCACATAGAGTGGAGGGGGTCCCGATATATACTGTAGAGCCCACCAGGTTACCTTTGATCGCGTTTCCACTGGCCGAAGAGCGGACAACGTTTCTCCTACTAGATACACCATCCTGCAGGCCAGGTACTCCACGTTCAAGACCGCGAGCTCACGGGCATACTTCCTTCGTCTAGGGGTCATTCTACCTGAGGTCACAGGTGTGTATGGATCGCAATGAGCAGAGATGTCGCTGAGCCCCCCGTCAATTACAATAGAGCCATGCGGGCCTAGGCCCAATAGAGAGAGAAAGCCCAGGCTCTGGCTACCTTAGCCACACCCACCGTCGCAAGACGCAAGCTGCAATCAACGCGTCGAAGAGGGCGCGAATTGACTCAATCCTAAAGACTGCTCTCAGTGTCACCCATCCCACCGAAAAAACGCGAGAAGCAGTTGCAGAGCACAGCCTGAAAGAAGTCATTTTGCCTTCATCCAGAATGCTAAGCCAACTCGGGCAACGTGGACCAGGCATGCACATATTAAATGTCCGGCTGAGGCGACTCGGCGGCACATTGGCGTGACGACCCGAACATTCATTCTCTGTGGACTGTTACAAGCCTTCTGCTCTCGACTTACTACGAGTATGGGGTTTAGACTCTAAAGAGATGCTATGAAACAGCCTGTTGATTCTCAACTATCACTACCTACCTTACACACTGGCACTTTCGAGCTGCCAGACGCCGAAGACAGTTAGGTACGCTCCAGGAGTGATCTGCATGTGATGTTGCTGCTTTGCAAGCATCTCTGATCTGGCTTGTGGAATTTTTGCTTCCTACGAGTCGCCAGACGTCTTGGGCGGTAGTGAGTGAGTACGTGACCTGGTAGTTTTGCGTGACGGAGAGATTGTTGGTTCGTCTGTAATGGGACGCTGCTATTGGTCGGAGCCTGTACTGGCAGTCTCAAATGTCCACTGCCAGCCAGCTTCGTGATACGCGAATAAAAAAAAAAAGGAAAGAATACACTGAGCGTCACGTATTTGTTTTTTAGCGCGAACGCGTGAGTACCCCAGTTCGGTAGCCGCTCTCATGGGCGGTGGTTACGGATCCCCCATGTCTAGATCCACCCATCCGGCTCCCAGCCAATCAAGAAAGCTGATTCCCATTTTATCAGGCAAGGCCACACCAGTGCACGCCCCTGGCACCAGCCCAAGGCCCCGGTGTGCCGCTGATACTGACCACCCACCTGGGCCACCCCTCCCCAAAATCACTCTGTCCTCGCATCAAATCAGTAACGCCGCAGGAGCCCGTCGCGTCCAGCTACAAAAACCCAGCCCACCCCCCCAAACTTCTTCCTGCCACATCAACTCTTCCTCACTCCATCATCCAGCTCCATCCACGGTCGCCAGACGCAATCCATTTCAACCAACTTACTCACGTACTCATTTCTCACTTCCACTAATCCAAACCGCAAAAATGCCCCCCAAGGCCGCCGACAAGAAGCCTGCCTCCAAGGCCCCTGCCACTGCCTCCAAGGCCCCCGAGAAGAAGGATGCCGGCAAGAAGACCGCCGCTTCTGGCGACAAGAAGAAGCGCACCAAGTCTCGCAAGGAGACCTACTCCTCCTACATTTACAAGGGTAAGTGACATCGGCACTTCGCGTTCTTGGCGCGTTGTCGCGTCATCAACGCGACTCGATAAATTCGCATATCCTAACATGGTATTTGCAGTCCTGAAGCAGGTCCACCCTGACACTGGTATCTCCAACCGCGCCATGTCTATCCTCAACTCCTTCGTCAACGGTAAGCATATATCGCTCCAGATACCAGTGTGCATGGTTTTTAACTCGTTACATAGATATCTTCGAGCGCGTCGCCTCTGAGGCTTCCAAGCTTGCTGCCTACAACAAGAAGTCCACCATCTCCTCTCGCGAGATCCAGACCTCGTATGTCATCTCCAAGCCCGAAAAACGCACCAGCTAACCATCTTCTCAGTGTCCGTCTCATCCTGCCCGGTGAGCTGGCCAAGCACGCTGTCTCGGAAGGCACCAAGGCCGTCACCAAGTACTCTTCCTCCACGAAATAAGGATGCTTGTACTGCTTTTCTTTTCGGGCATTGGATTTTACTTGGCATTTGGGTGTCATGATGAGACCTGCCAAGGTTACCAATATCCTTGGGGTCTCTTAATGCGTTACGGATGGTTTGCTTTTTTGGGGGCAATGTCTTCACGGTCAAACGGGGTTCGCGGGTTGTACAATACACCTTGAGAATAGGGTTTTCGGACGAATGAAATCGTACACATGAACATCAACACAAGCTGACTCCATTGCAAACGTGCCCGGATGCAAATATATGCTAAACTATGAGCACAGGCACCCTACAATCTCGTGAGCCCCCTCCCCCTCTTGACAAAGGTGCGCATAGCAGGCCATTCCGAATACACCGTTGACCGCGCCGTCTCACAAAAGGCATCGGCATCGCAATAACGACCGAAGCGTGTTATCCCAGCCCGGCCTTGCTACGCTTGACAACATGGGCGACAGGCTGCAGAATGCCTTTGTTGTTCATCGCGCCCAATGCCGTACCACTGCTCCAGCCCATTTTCTCCAGCATTGCGCGTCCTTTATTTTCTTGGCTCAACTCAGGCGCGGAGCCCCCGACGACCTCGCCATCCCGATAAGCGACTCCCGCGTGCCCACCACCACCTCCCCTACGAGCCGATTGCCTTTGAACAGCGGCTCGCACTGCTGTATCGTTGCGGGGGAAGTATTTGCGGCCGACCCGGGCAATGGCTACATCAAAGACCTCATCGGCAAATTTGGCGGTCCTGAAAGTGCGGTGGAGCATGGGTCGCCTTTGGTCACCTGATCCAGTGGACTTGGACTTGATGTTGAATTTGCTGGCTAGTTCGTGGATCACCTTGCGAGCATGATTGTCCATGGGCGGTAGAGTGAGACTTGCGGCAATAAGTCAGCTTCCAACACCTTGAGTGTACTCAAAGAGTACGAAACTTACCTAGGTTGCGTGCCCAAGAGGAATGTTCTCAGCTCATCGGCGATTTGTTCAAGCCCCATCCCGTGCGGGTATTTGACTCTGAGATCTTCCGGGTTGGCATGTTTACCCAACAATCCCATACTACGCATGGCCTGGCGTTCTTTTTTCCTCTCGGCCTTTTTCAAGCGATCATTATTCCACGCAGCTTGCATCCTGCCCTCTAGCTCTGAGTCCGAAATGTCAAACACGGGAACCTTGCCTCTGGCACCCTTGCCCTTCTTAGACTTCAACGCCGGGCGGTTCCAGTCCATGAAATCGAAATCGTCGATCTCATTCGCAAATCTGTCTGCTGCTGATCTGAAGATATCGTCGTCGTCTTGGTCACTTGAATCCGAAGGCGGCGATGCGTCTTCAGCATGAGATTGCTCGAGTGATGCCAGGTAGGAGACATCGGTCTCAAAAATTCCCATCAGTGCATGATCATCTTGTATGATTTTGCCCCTTTCAGATCGCCTCTGTGCAGTATGGACAGGATCTTTGTCGCTTTCCTCAGGCACTCTTCCAAACCCTGCTGTCGTATGTTCCGATTCACTGTTGACGCCTGCTAACTCCTCTGTCTTGCTCATGGCTACGACGGTCTGGAATGAGTCATCGATGCCTTCAGACTCACTCAAAGAGCCGCCTATGTCACGGCGAGAATAGGCTTTCGCAGGCACCAGGGCTTCGTCTTCGCCAAACTCCCTCATGTTGGCAATATAGTCAGCAACCAAGTCATCATCCTCCTGTCGCTTCAAGTCTTTGGCGACATTTCGACAAGGTTTCTGTGTAGAGCTCCCCGCAGTCTTCACAGGCCCATTGCTGCTGCTGTCTTTCTTCGATTTGACGGTCTTCTCTAGGACGTTGATCTCGGTAGAGATGCCGCCCAGGTTGAAAGTCTTCAACTTCGATTTGGTCTTGAATTTCGAACTTTGTCTGTCTCTGGGAGCCTTGTTGCGACCTTTGAACAGAATGACCTCTTCGCTAGAATTGGACGGCGTAGGCGACGGAGAACGAGTCAGGGTTCGATCTATAAATGTGTCAAGCCGTTGACTCTCTCCCACGACGTCGAAGAAGAAGGGAAGAGGTGATGCTGTGTCTTGAGTGACGGGAGCCTCAGCGCCAGTGATGTCTTCCACTCCGGAGATCGTGGCCCTCTCTGCCTCGCGTGGCTCCAGAGAGGTATCCGGCATTCCGACGGCAATATCGATCGGCGTCGCCTCGTGGGTGTGGGCTTCATCAAGCGGAAAAGCAGGTTGAGGTTCGTTGGAAGGTGTGTCGGCAGCAGCTTGGCCGCGGATGATATCTTGTTCTTCGGTTTCCGCTTGAGGTCTGCTTGTAGAGTCTCCCTCGCCAACCTTCAAGATGCTCTCTAGTTGTTTCAGAGGCTCTGCGGCACCAGTATTGATAAAGGCAACCGGCCTATGGCGTAGTTTGGAATCACTGCTCCAGGGTGACGAGTGATGAGCGGTGCTGCGGGCTTCGTCTTGCAATGTGAATCCTACGGCGAACCCGGTTAACTTGCATGCCATCAATGGGAGGTACTTCCCGAGACGAGTCCCGATCAGAATGACATATACTGACCGGTTGAGCTCATCGCAGGAATGAAGCTGGATGCATGCCGCTCTATGCCACCGTTAGGACGAAGTCGAGGGGCATTGCGTGCTGGCGCGCGAGCGCCACCCCTTTTCCCACCGCGCGGCATCGCTGCCCACACGATGAAGAACGTTCAATGAAAGTGCTGTCTGTGTCTTGTCTGGGTAGTAAATGGGTAGTTTCTGTCAACTGCATGCGTGGTTGCGGGAGCTCTGACACCTTCTGCTGAGGTCAGAAACATACTCAGGATGTGGCAAGCCAGTCAAGAAAATCCCTTCTATTATGTGTACCTCTATTTATTCCGTCCCTATGAAAATACAAAGCGGAGTAGGCACCGGGGCCAAGGTACCTTAGCTTAGGTGCTTACCTATACATACCTACTTAGGGAAGCACCGTAATTGATACCTTAGGTTTGCACGCCGTACCGGGTAGGTACGGTACCTACCTTGTCGCATCTTTTATCGATAAGGAGCGCGTGAACCGGGCATACACAGTAGACCATGATAGGTACCTAATCCATAGAAGTACTGTGGGTATCGAAGGTAGTTACTCGGATACCTAGGCACAATCGGAAGCCTTGCAAGATGAATGGTTCGCACCTCAGGTATTACTTACTTCCAGCATTAGTTGCCGATCAAAAGAGGACCTGGGCCGCTGTCCCCTCACACCGTAACGTGGGGCATCAAACCTACCTTACCTACAAGTACCTAGTGTACAGGCTGCCTACATTACCGTGCAGCGGTGCTACCTGACTGCCACACCAAGGGCCCCGCTGTGTTCGGCCGATGCGTCACAGGGACAGTCCGCCTGTCATCGGTCCAGATAACAGAAGACTTGGGCAGCAAATAGTCTTTAGCCGTTACGGAGGGTTCCTTCCTATCACGTAAGGTCGTCTGGCTGTACTAGCTTGACTACCTCTACCTTCCTCCCCGTCGCATGCCTACACACGACATTGCCGTCTTCATTGCTCGTCTACACTGCTCATCCACCATCCCCCGACTGACCGACTAACCAACTCCAACTTGACCATCTACCACCCCTGCGGCCTCGCATCGATATTGCCTCGAGTGTAATCGCCAACTGTTTGAGCCTGTACTGTCATCTGCAAAACTTACCTCTGTTTGCTTTTGACTCCTCCCAAAGTCGCAGCGACAGCTTACAGAAGGAAGAGCGACCGGATTCCCTTTGTTGTCGCTTGCGCATACGAGATCATCTTTCTTCAGGACGAGTCGTCCCATATCGCAGGACTTTGTGGCCAGGCTTCGCAGTCCAACGGATCCGCCATGGCTGCGGTTGACCTCGGCCGATACCGTCGCATCGTCCAGATGTTTTGGGATCCCCAACCTACCAACGACCATCAGAGTGACCTTCCAGTTTGGTGCTTGGGTCGCTCCTACAAGCTGAACACCAAGGCTACTAAAGATAAGGATACAGACAATCGAAGCCAAACCCCTCCGTCGACCGAGTCTACCGAAACCAAGCCAAAAGCCTCACAGGCGTTAGCGACAGCCTCGGCCTCGGCCAAGGCCCCGGAAACCCCCCCGGATTCTGTGTCCAGTAGCTTTTCGTCTTCGCTTGCTTACGATGAGGATTACCTGGAGCAGGACGGTGGCTGGCCTTCAGCGTTTCTCGACGACTTTGAATCCAAGTTTTGGATGACGTACCGATCAGAGTTCCAGGCCATTGCAAAATCTACAGATCCACGAGCCTCGTCTGCGTTATCTTTCTCGATGCGTATCAAAAGTCAACTGGTGGATCAGAACGGCTTCTCGTCTGACAGTGGCTGGGGATGCATGATCCGGTCAGGTCAGAGCTTACTCGCAAATGCAATGGCAGTTATCAACCTAGGGCGCGGTAAGTTGCTTGAAATAATTTGACGATTACCTTCGCTGCAAGTCCCTTTCGCTGACAGTGGTATTAGGATGGCGACGAGGCGATAAAATCGAAGAGGAGAGAAAGCTGATTTCTCTATTTGCGGACGATCCAAGAGCGCCTTATTCCATCCATCAATTCGTTCAACATGGCGCAGTGGCATGTGGGAAATACCCTGGGGAGTGGTTTGGCCCCTCAGCCACCGCTCGCTGCATTCAGTAAGCCTGCGTTGTTGTTGCTAGATGCAGTCATACAGGCTAATTTCCCAAACCAGAGCCTTGGCCAATGCCCAAGAACACCAGCCTCTCCGAGTGTACTCCACTGGAGACGGACCTGATGTCTACGAGGAGAGCTTCATGAAGATTGCCAAACCCGAAGGTTCTCAGTTCCACCCGACACTCATATTGGTTGGTACGAGGCTCGGGATTGACAAGATTACCCCGGTCTACTGGGAGGCTCTCATAGCCGCACTACAAATGCCACAGTCAGTGGGCATTGCAGGGTAGGCGCCTCCGTCGAAACTAAGATATTATGTACTCACTCACGACCATCACAGTGGCAGACCTTCCTCTTCTCACTACTTCATCGGTACACAGGGTTCCTACTTGTTCTATCTTGATCCACACCATACCCGACCTGCCCTCCCATTCCACACGGATCCTTCTCGCTATAGTGAAGCAGATGTTGATACCGCCCATACTCGACGCTTACGTCGGCTCCATGTTCGGGAGCTGGACCCCAGCATGCTCATTGGTTTCTTGATACAGGACGAGGACGACTGGATCGAGTGGAGGCGTAACGTGAAGCACGTCCAAGGAAAAGCCGTGATCCATGTTGCTGACTACGACCCTGTGTCCGGAGGCGGTGGAGGGGAAAGGAATAGCGCCATTGATGAAGTGGAAACGATTAGTGATGACGACGGTGACACCATCTTGGACGCTTGAGATTCTCCATTGTTTGCTATGATCCTTCCTTTAGGATCCAAGACCGAAATTTACGGGCGTTGGAAACGCACCATTGCACATGGCCCGATACAGGGTTGCTTCGCCTCAAGGTGCTGGGTTAGGGATAGGCTTCACGCCAACTTCAGGGATAGTCGCATTATTGGCGTAAAGGATGCTCACTTTGATCACGAGACTGGGTAACACGGGGTTGGTTGGGTATGAACATTGATTTGAATTTGGGTGCGAGTTCGCTCTTTAACCGTTGGATAATTGTCCGAGACAGCTCAGTCTTAGATACAGATTGACTCAGCGTCTCTTTTTCTTAGCGCCTGCTGGGGCCTTTGCATTTGGGGGTGCCCGGGCATGATTGAGATCGCGAATATGACTGAAAAGCTGGCTTTTGGAAGGAAACGATGCATTACACACAATGCATGTATTCTATGGATCGGGTGTCAGTGATCAAAAGCGGAGTCGACTTAAGATACATCCAGACCGGGACTCACACTGTTCGTTTCGGCCTCCTCCACTGCTTGGCGTGCTGCCTTTTTTTCACGCTTCGCCTTGGCCTTCCCTAACTTCTTTGGCTGTGGCCCATGGCCACTTTCATTGTCATCTTCAAGTGAAAACGTTTCTAGACTGGTTGATACGGTCTGAGCAGCAGCTTCTGCACCATCGCCTTCGCTCGCCCTAGTAAGGGTATTGTCGTTTGCGAATAGCCTCTTCTCAACCTCGGCACGCGAAGCATACTCGTCATCTTCGAGAGTATCTGACGATGTATCATTGAGCTCCGTCTCATCGATATGAGAAATTGGATCTGCTGATGTGTCATCCTTGCCCTTTGCGCGGTCCAATTCACCGCGTCCCTGAGTACCAACCTCCTTTTCAGATTCGTCGCTTGATGTCGCCTTCTCGGGCGCGACAGGAGCGTCCCGTAGACCCAAATCCATATCTTCGTTCTTCATTTGGCGCCTCAGATATTGCACTGCCTTTACGTGTTTTTTGCTTCTCTCATGTGCTTCAAATGACTTCTCGCTCTTGAAGGTCTTGTTGCATACAACGCATTCAATCTCCTCTACCTCTGATTCCTCCTCCTCGCTGCTCGAGAAGTGGCCGGCCGCATCGCCTTCATCCCTCGCCTGGGCCCAGTCAGGAACGAATGCCTCGGATAGCTTCTCTTTATTGGCGGCACGTGAGCGTGCAGCTTGAGCGGCAGCGGCGGAACGTAAAGACTCCTGGCGTTCGGCAGCCGTCTGTGTGTTTGGGAGGTAACGCGGATCGCGTTTTCGTACAAAAGTGACGAGGAATCTAATTGCGTCATTGAATTCTCGTATGGCTTCTTCGCGAATCTTCTTGTTTTCTCTCTCCATGGCACGCCTGATGCGACGATCCGGGGCCTCCACGAGCCGGTATTTGCCCTTCCATGCAAAAGTCTTGCAAGTCGAGAAGCTGGTCCAGGCGCTGTAGAAGGTCTTAACAGTGTGTTCGTAGCTGTCGGCAGAGGAGCCAAATGTAGGATAATCTGGAGTGTCTCCCACTTCGTAGACGCCAGCAGCGATTTCTTCATCAACAAGATGATCGAATGTCGCCTTGGCAATGCCAAAGAACCCTGAAGTGCCGTCTGTGAAAGGAATGGTGGAATCAAAGCGGCGAATGAGGGAGAATATGTCTTCGGTCGATGTGAGCTTCACATTATTGTACTCAGGGCTATTGCCCGAATCGGTCGGATCGGCCCCACGTAAGATGGCTTCGCGATGGGAGTCGTACCAAGCTCTCTCCTGGGGATCGGCAAGGACTTCGTATGCGGCCTGGATTTCAGCGAAGCGACGGGTCGCATTCTGGACATCATGGAAGTTTCTGTCCGGGTGAAGCTCAAGGGCTCGCTTTCTGTAAGCTTTTTTGATTCTGTAGGTCCGAAATCGATTAGTAAGGACCCAAGTAAAAGCCTGAGACCACTGGAAAGTGAAGAACGAGTGCGTACTCATCGTCAGAAGCGTCGCGCCCAACTCCAAGAAGCTCATAGTAACATGTCTTAACTGGCTCAGAGGAGTTTTCGCTCGAGTCTCGGCCAGAGGATTGCTGAGCACCCATGACACGCCGAAGACGCTATATAGCGTAAAGAAAAATGGGTGGTTTTATTGTTTGCTAAATTCGGACCGTCGAATATCTTGACATGCGAGAGCTGCCACAAAATTGCGTGTTGGAACCGGGGCGTGTTTGGTGAAGGCCGGCGACCGACCAGTCCAATAAGCCGGATACGCTGCACAGAAAGGGGAAGCAAACCAGGGATCAAGATATTCAGCAGGTCAAGGTAAAGAAGTGATCACAACAGATGAAGGATTTGGGCAAGGCACGTCGGCTAGGTAAAGACGGTAAGGTATTTCCAAGTAAAGTAAGGATGGAACTTCGCTGTGGTGCCTGGGTAGACTTTAGGTAATCCCTAATTCTTGAACCGAATTTCTTTTTTTTTTTTTTTTTTTTTTTTTTTTTTGGGTATGTGCCCCTCCATACTTTCAGGTAAGGTAAGGAAGACATACCCCGCAACCCCTCATTGCCTGCCATTTTTGATAAGATAAGAAATCAAGGGTTGTCGATGTCGAAGCCTCGAAGGTCAGGTTCCTCCCCTGCCTAGGTAAGGTAATGCGCCGCGGTACCTTAGCTAAAGTACTGTGTACCTATCTCCTCAATCTACCTGCAGGGCGCACCCCTGGATACCTAGCGAGCGAGCGAGCGAGGGGATTGTCCATCAACGCACGGATACAGTAATACTCTGTATCTGTACGACTATCTCATTACTTGGAAAAGACGAACAATGACTCTTGCTTGGTCCCACCTGGCATGGCAACGTGCCGACTCTGAGGTTGGTTACTGGTATCCGTACAGTCATCAAGTCTCACGTCATGCAAACTGGGAATTTGCAGTGAGTCGAAAGATTGGATTACAGCAGACAGGGGCACAGGGGTTATATGACCCGTTATAACGAATATATGCTACAGTTTTCCTCTACACATCACTCCGTAGTCGAACGATCGCTTCGAGGCAAATTAGGGCACCTACTATCACATAGGTACCAAGTGTTCCCGATTCCCTACCGTATTGCACTTACGGATACTTGTGTCATTCGAAGAAAGGTATGCACGTACCCGAACCTCGAGCAGAGTGTCACTGATGGGTGCACCCATGCCTTGCCACTACCCCCCGCCTTTCCCTCCCTGTCCTGGTTGTTCGACAGCATGGTCCAGCCCAGCCTAGCCCCCAGCACGTCGTTGAGGCCGGTGACAGGAAACCAATCCAGTTACGTACTTTTGCGTGTCTGCGACTGAATTTTTATATAGTGCAACTATGCTGCTGACACTTCACCTACCCTCCCGTCATAAGCCCCCCAAACCCTCTTTCTTGATCGTTCGTCTATGAACCCAGGGCTATCCTATCCACCCCTCGGAGAGAAAGCCATGTCTTTACGCCTTGCCAAGACACCAGTCCGAGTATCGAGTATTGTTGCACTGCAGATCCAACCAATTTGAATACGCCATGAAGTTTGCACACGATTTCAAGGAAACGCTTAGGCGCCAAGGTTAGTCTACTACACGTCATTGTTTTTATGGTTATTCCCTCTCAAAAATCCTTCATGTTCGTCTCATCTCAGACGCTCTGTGAGACTGAATGTTTTCTCAAACAAAACAAGAGACGATGCACTGCCTAACGCTGCTCAATTTCAGACTTTCCACCTCATTGGATTGATCAGGCCATCCCATATGGCCAGCTAAAGAAGGTTCTCAAACGTGTCGCCAGGGAACTCAACGATCTGGGGCTTGACCCCGAGACTCTACGCCAACTTCTCGACCCGGCTAATGATTCGCCATTGGCCGCCAAATACCGCCTCAACGGTAAAAACTCTCTGCCCTCTCCCATCCAACGGTGTTCGCATCACCGCCACCCCCACGCCCCTACCATAAGCATAAGGGCTAATTCACACACAGCTGCCGGGAACTCAAAGTTACTGAGGCCAAAGCTGACTGTCTTGGTGCACATGCGCGACGGTAATGCTGTTGACGCATCGCTGACGCCCGCATCCCGTTCCCTCATTGAACGCATCGCCGCCTTGCAGTCCCACGACCCAACTCAACCGATCCCGGCCGCAGCTCCCGAGGACCCCGTACCATCCAAGTCGCCGGTCTCGTCTGCTGAGTCTCTTGCCAATGCCGAGATTGAGTTATCGGGCACCCAGTCTTGCCTCCAGGGCGAAGGCCAATCGTCGCCAACAGAGCACTATGAGCGTATCGAAGTTCCACTTGTCTTCGACAGTGAATTCTTTGACATCCTGCAGAGCGATGTCAACAACTTGGATGCACTTCAGGCAAAGGAAGAAAAGGCCATGGTGACGGAGATCGTTGCCCTGAGACAGGAAATTTCGCATCTTACGAAACCCAGTCGCCTCTCCAAGAGCGACCTTGCGAGGTGGCGAGCCATTTTCGAGCTGTACCTCGACGCCCAGGTCTTCTTCTCAACCAACGAGCAAGACCACGGGTCCCGAACCAGTCAGACGGCTGCGAAGCAACTTCAGTGGTTCCAAGAAGAAATCACAAAGAGGAATCTCGTCAAATCGTTCAAGATTGCCGAGAGTCGCGAAGCCCTGGTTCGCTTCTTAAGTCTCAACGCCGTCCTCCTCAAAAACTTGCAGTTTCAAGAAATTAACCAGGTTGCCATCTACAAAATTCTGAAGAGTGAGCCTCACTCCTCCCGATATCGTCTTCAATCTAGTTCGATCTGTTCAAGCAAAGCTGATTCGCGGCAGAATTTGACAAACGTACCTGCCTAGGTGTTTCGAAATCCTTTCCAACTCAAGTCCACTCCGACAAGTTGCTGGCCGGTTCCGTGGCAAAAGACATTTGCGCCCAAATGTCTACCGATTTAGTCTCAGTCGTACCGCAGATCAGTGATTATCTGTGTCCAATTTGCTTCGCCATCGCCTATAGGCCTGTCCGGTTAGCCTGCCAACACATCTTCTGCATCCGGTGCATTGTCAAGATCCAACGGCGGAATGAGAAGCACTGCCCTTTGTGCAGAGCAGACACCGTCATGAAGGCGTCCGCGGGTGAGTAGAATGAGTTAGCTGATACAAAGTGCACACTGGCTGACACCGATGATCGCAGATAATTTGGATATTCAACTAGAGAGATATATGCGCAAGTACTTCCCCAAGGAGGCCAAGGAGAAGCAGCGAGCCAACGAGATTGAACGAGGCATTGAGGACTATGGTCCCGAGTACGTGCACTCTGAATGCTCTGTTATGTAGATGCTCTCGTGTTTCATGTTCTTCTTCTTTGCTTTCCTATAGATTTCTCAGAGATACCCTTGCCGGTTGTAGGTTGAGCTTCCGGTCGCAACGAGTCTTGAATATGAGGGAGTCTTGTGGTCGTTACTCTTGAGTGCTTCTTCGTTGCCCTCCACATTCTTATCATCTTCGGCTTCCGCGTGCCTCCGCATCCAACTATCCATTACCGCTCCATTCATACCGAGTTTTCTGTGCAATTCAAGCATCTTCGGACTTTTCAACCGCTTCAAGAGCACTGGTGAAAATCTTTTGCAACTCAGCCGTCTCCTCTAGACCGACACTGACGCGAATGAGGTCCGGATCAACACCCAGACCGGCAGCCCAATCGAGCTCTTGGTAATGCGCCAGCAGCACATAGGGTGATGTCAGAGTAAAGTTCGTACCTAGACTCGGGCCCTTGGCCGTCTCAATGGCGTCGAAGAACGCAATGGCGTGAGCTGTCTTGTGAAACGTGACCGACAGAAGCCCGCCATAACCCCCACCGGGCAATTTGCAGAGATCGTAGTTGGGTCTCGTCGGATTGACTCTTGGATAGTAAACACATTTGACCAGCGGATGAGCCGAGAGGATGTCGCAAATGGTCTCGGAACTCTCGTTGATGCGCTCGATACGCGATGCAAAGTCGCGACTGTTACGCTCCATGAAAACGACGTCCTCTGGCCAGTACGTGTCTTCCAGGTCCTCGACCCAAGCACCCTTCAGGGCCTGATAGTACTTGCCACTTGGGTTCAGTATGGCACTGCCACCCATGACGTTGCAGTCGCCCGAGAATATCTTGGTCAGACTGCTTACGACTATGTCTGCGTATTGTAGCACGTCAATGTTGATAAAGCTGCCGATGGTCTCGTCCACAACGACGCCGAAATCATACTTGTCTGCAAGAGCACGGATCCGCACCAAGTTGGGGCAGGTTAGGAGAGGATTGCCGGGAAATTCACAAAAGAGCGCCAAGAAGCGCTCGCCACTCTCGAGGCGCTTTTCGAGATCGTCAAGATCCTCCTCCGAGGCGCGTCCGTAGAAGAGACAACCAGGACCAAACTTTTGCAGGATCTTGAGCGTATCGACGTAGGGGAAGCCAAAGTTGACGGACTGAAGGTCACCTCTAGCGCGCAGCATGGCCCGGTGGGCGTTGTAGATGGCATTCATGCCACAGGGAAACAGGTATACATCGCTCTCTTGCAGGTCCTTTTGGTTTCTGGCGTTTTCCCCCATGGGAGGCAGTGAGCTGATGCTGGCCTCCATGTCGGCAGCCATAGCGCCCGCAATTCTACGCTTGATGGCCGACCTGGCGCGCTCGACGAGGGACAGATCGAGGTTACGGCCAAAGCGTTCCTCGAGAAAGCGCAGGCTTTCTTGAGTTTCAAACGCACTCTGGGGGTTCACCTTGGCCGCTGGGTGGTGAGCCGTCTTGGTGTCGTCGATGGAAGATGGGCGGTGGTATCTCTTCGGACCTCTGTGGGCTTTTCCCACTGGCGAGTTGGGCCTTGCCACGGGAACAAAGAGACCCTCCTTCAATAGACCGTGGCAGAACTCGGCTCTTCGGCTTGAGATTCCGTCTCCTGTATGCTGCCAGTACTGCTTGGCAAAGGGGAACACCTCGGGGGCATACACCACGGCAGAAACAGTGGGAGACAGGGAGCGCAAGAGCGGTGAGATATCCTTGGTCATATCGAGTCCGAAATCAATGACGGTGGCATCGGCAGAAACTGAGGCATCTGCGTGTTTCTTTACAAAGGCCAGACACCTTCTCGCAATACGAGGAGTGGGAAACAACATGGCTTTCTGACCCGAAGGGCCATGCTGGGCAATCAGATCTTCAGCCAAGGCTACAATGCTCCTATGAATGAAGAATCTCGACAGAAAAATAGTCTCAGCCGGGGAACAAAGAGTTGATATGGGAGAAGAGGCTTACCTGGGATAGCCGGTGGTCATCTTATCCACGACCCATGATTCTCCCTCTTCATAGCCGACATTTGCTCTCCACGTAGGAAGCTGAACGCTCACTGCCTGCACGGGCTGTCAGCAACGACGTCACATGGCTCTGAACAAGAAAAGGGGACCACATGGAATTGGCTTTGGCGTACATGAGCAGTGTCTGGCGGGATGGACTGTCCCAATTCCAAAGCGGGCATTGCGACAATCTTGACTTGTGCTTTTTATCTACGTGAACTGTACAATGTGTTAGACCTCATTTAGGAGCGTGTATGTTATGACCAGTGATTGACTTGCTCTATATCTCATCGAGGTGATGGTGTGTGGGCTTTTATGCGTTGTTGGTCTGTATGAGAATGAGATGAGTCAAGTAGACTGGAGTTTGAATTGAACAAAGATGTGGGTCAAGGCTGGTGCAGAGGTGGTGGCTAAAGTAGGTAAGGCATCACGCAAGAGCCCTCCACTCGTACAGTTTTCTTTCTTTCTTCCTCTCTCTCTTCCTTTCTCTCTTTCCCACACTCACTAGTATTGTTTATCTCTGACTCTCCCTCTTTCCATGTGTGGGATCGAAGGGTGACTTTAGGCAGTGTAAATTTGGGCTCAGGTATTGCAAACGGCGGCCTTATTCAGTCGTTATTGATGAAGATATGCTGTCAATCGCGAATCTCATCAAATTTGCCTCCAGTGTCAATGTCCCCGGTTTGCCGGCACTTGACTCGATGTGGGCGATTAGAAGTCGGTAGAAATCTGCCAAATCCCCAAAGGGCAACTTTCGGTGGAGCGACGTGGGACTAAGAGTCTGTGACTGGTAATTGTTGGTCTGTGCCGTCGCCTGCGGGGCGCCGAGGATCGGAGTGAAACCCCGCGAGGGGCATTTCATTTCGTCTCTGCCTATCCGAACCTCTTGCGGAGTACGAATAACTACATACCTTCCTTACTTACCTACTACCTACGACCTCAATTCCAGAGCCCAAAGATCCCAATTTCCTAAGAGCAAGGTCGGTGAAATCAGGCATCTGCAGCGCGGCATTTACCAAGAGAAATGATCACGGCAGCTCCAAAGTCAGATTTGGTTTCCCATGAGCCCTCACCTCCAGCCTCAAGTCCCAAACAGATAGCGCTAAGATATTGAATAATACTATTGGTGACGATAAAAACCAAACAGTGCATGGCTCTGGTCCAGGCTGTCATCGAACTAGACCAACCATGAATCATGAGGTGAGGAACACAAGTCGATACCGGTCTAGTATTTCATAAACTTGGCCCAAGAGAAGAAAATAAACCCATACGCATTCAAAAAATTGGTAGACCACCGTGTAAGTCCGCATCAGCGAGATCAGCCTTGTGCAGACCTTTTCTAGTATCTATCTCAACGTTGAATGGCCCCCAGGCAAGCAAAAGTAACTCAACGTGATTCCCATATGTCACAATCATATCCTCATTGCCCCGGCCTCAGCCTCATCTGGTCATTATCCTTTGTCAATAGAACAACTGCCATGCAATGCATCCGCATCCGTGCCTAAATCATAAAAAGCCAGCCTCTAAATAAGAAAATTATACTGCAATAGCATCGGCACTCGTTCTGTGCGGCCGAGTAATCTGTTGATAATTTTGAGTCGCTCGACTTTGGAGGTCTTGCCAGCCTCGACAGCTGTATCAAAACGTTCCGGTGGAGGACAGTCCACTGCACTTCTCCGTCTCGTCAATGATACTGACGCCTGCTGGTCTTGCTGCCGATACAGCTGATGCTATCACTTGGTGCTACGCTGATGGCGTCATCTTCCCAGGCACTACGGCCACTGTCAATGCGGCTCTTCGGCGGAGGAGGGCCGCGGGCTGACACATAGGTCGGTGCTCGCGTGGCAGGGGGGTAGGCGAAGACGGGTTGAGTGTTTCGAACCGCCGTTGGAGCTCTACTCGGAGCTCTGGTTGGTGCTCTGCTGGGTGCTCTGCTGGGTGCCTTGCTAGGAACAACAGTAGCTGGCGCCGCCTGAGTGGGTGCCATACTCGGAGCTCGGCTGGGCGCCACAGTAGGAGCTCTGCTACGCACAACAGTCGGAGGCCTGCTGGGTGCCCTGCTGGGTGCCCTGCTCGATGCCATGCTCGGCGCCTTGGTGGGTGTGCGGCTCGGGACAAGGCTGGGGGCCATAGTCGGCGCACGACTGGGTGCACGGCTAGGTGCTTGACTTCGCCCGCCCAATATCGTCTCAACAGTGGGCGGGGGCGGACGGATAGTGGACTGAGACCTCCCGCTTCGGGCTGAGACGTAGGTTCCGGCATCGTCAACGATAGTGCGGGGCACGGCCGACCTGCTAGCCATGCTGTGTCTTGAGCCTGCGTTACTTTGGTGCTCGTAATCAGTGAGCATAAGGGGGGCGGCTCGGGGAACGGCGGCTTGGCTGCGAGAACGAACACTGCTGCCTCTTTCGAGCTGATAGCGAGACGAGTGCCGGCTGCGGGTGTCGTCGTACAGGTCATCGGCGGCACGGCTTCGAGCGCCGACCTGGCTGTACTTGGCCATGTACTGAGGAGGTGCTCGGTTGTCCGATAGTGCCGGGTAAGCCTCTGGGTACCGGATCTTCTCGACGGTCCTCTCGACCTCGACATAACGTCCGGCCTGCGGGTCGGTATATTGATCGGGGAAGGTGGAACGGCGTTGGAACGGAGGGGCGGCTCCGGAGCCGTCAAACTCCTGGCGCGGAGCTCGTGCACGTTCCTTGCGCATCATTCCGTAGGTGACGGCAGCGCCGGCGGCAGCACCAACAGCTGCACCTAAAAGACTTCCGACTATAGTGTTTGTAGCGATGCCGCCGCTTGATGGAGAGGGCTGAGATGGGGTTTCGTCCCTTTTTGTTGGCGATTCGATGACCGAGGTGGTGACGCTTCGACGGAGCATCGTGTAAGGGGGTTCGTTACCGGGAAATGAACCAGAGCGAGCAGCCATGGCGAAGACTGATGAAAAGGTCCCGGCAGTAGCGGAACCGGAAACAGAAGGCGGCGGCGGGGGTTCGGATGCTGCAACGTCGTAATTCCAATCCAGAATGCGGCCAGCCTCCTCCGTGGTAGACTGTGTCTTTCGAACAGTAGACCCAGCGTAGGAGGGAGGATAGTTGGGAGGGGGTTGATATACAACTTCCATGGTGTTACCGTCCAAGTCGGTCACAGTAGCCCGGTGGATATCGCCACTTTGAGTGATTAAAGCGGGACGAGTGAAGTGATCAGCCGGGACGCTGGACAGCAGGTTCGGATTGGCCCGGACGGCAAAGGCGTGGAAGTCGGTGACAGCGGTGGGGGAGGGAGCAGAAAAGACGGCGCGAGAGAGCTTCAGGGGCTCGCTGGAATTGCGGGCCTCGCGGATCTGGAAAATGGGGGTGAGCGGGGACAGTATACCGTATGTGACGGTGCTGGGAAGTCTGCCAGGGCCTGTGGTGGTGATGGTCGTCTTGGAGTCGGTGTCGGCGCCTTCGTTGGCGTTGGCGTTGGCGTCCGGGGGAGCGGTCTGGGAATCCGTAGATATATAGTGGATGCCCAGGGATTGGAAAATGGCGGAGTAGAAGGAAGTTGAGGAGGGAAGATGGGAGACGTCAAAGTAGGGAGTCATTTGGGGCAGTTGATAGTCAAAGGCCGGTCCTAATTACTAGATAGGGCGGTTGTTTGAGGTGGGCGCGAAAAGTAGATAGAGAGAGAGAAAGAGAGAGAGAGTGTGTGTGTGTGTGAAGCGAAGGACTACCTAGGCGACAGGTCGAGAATAGTTTCGTGTAAGTGCCGTTACGCTTCTGCGGACGCGAGGGAGGGGGAAAAGAGGCGCAGACAGGCGACTCGAGCTAAGTAGGCTTGGTGGCAGCCTCGTTGATTTGTGCGTTCGTCGAGGTGGTTGCAAAGAAAATCCCGAGTGAAACTATCCAGGGCAACCTATTGATGTTGGTGTAGGGTTGTGGTGGTGCACTGGTGATGGTAGTGATGGTGGATGGTGGTAGTGCTAGTGGGTGATATGGTGAGGTATCGATATAGCCCACGGGCAGGAGGTAAGGTATTGACAGGCAGGTAGCGTAGCACCGAGACAGATACCAGAATACTAAGACAACAAGAAAGGGGAATCAACCTCAAGCATGTCAGTTTCCGACTGCTGCGTGGATGAAATGCTTAAAAGAGATACTTCTTAGTCTGACAAGGGGGGAAAAGAAGGCACACGCAACCGACATGAACCAAGCTGTGTGAGGGTTAAGACTCAAGCAAGTCTGCCCGCACATTTATGTCTTATGTACCTACTCCCGTCGGTAACTAGGTACCCAAGGTAGGTACCTTACCTTGCAACGTCTCTGACAACCCACCCACCTGCAACTGCGAAGACCTGAGGTAGTGGGTAGCCATACGGAAGCCTGTACTTCGTCTTCAGGGTGCGGCGTGCCTAGGTAGGGTATCATCAGCGGCACATCCATCACTCCAGTAGTACGGGGCCGCCATAGACTGACAGCTTGTTCCTGCTGCTGAGCCCAACCTAAGGTACCTTACCTTGAGGTACCTTGATGATAATCCCGCTCACGAGTCGGTAATGAGTCTCACTTTTCGCCCAGTGCCTTCTGGCCAAATCCAATATGCAGCCAGCCCGTTCCGGACGAGCCCAGTGCAGCTGCGATGGTGGGTGATGAGCTGCAGCTAGTGGCCGGTGAAGGAAGTGGCATATCCACATTGCGCCGGGGCACCCAGCCGGAGACCTCACACGGGTCACGGAAGCATAGGACGGGCCACCTTGATCTTTTTCTGCGCCTATGAAAGATGAGGTTATCTTGGTGCCGCGCCAGCTAGTTTAGCATAGCCTGTACATAGACTATAGTACAGACATACGGATACCAACTACGTGTACTTTGCCCCATCTCACAGATATCGGACTTCATTCCCTCGTTCGAAGGGTGATTGGTGTCATTGGGACCGTGGCCAGGCCCAGCCGCCTGACGATTTACAACCGGCCACAGGCAAGCGCCGCTTGGTATCGGGAGCTGGAGCTGGGGCTGGAGCCGGGCTACGTGTACGAATACCTGACAGAATCAAGGACCGAGAAGTCAAGCGGCGCTTCAGGTGGGTAGATCATCCTGCAATCAGCAACGGCTGCCGCATCTCATGATCTGGATCGTGTCGAGAGCATGGTCGTCGATGTGTGGTCTGTATGATATTGATATGGGGTCTCAACTCAGTCTCTGTCCGGAGTATTCTTGCGGATAGTGGCACTGGAGCGTTTGATCGTTTCGTCGTGTCTGGCTGCTATTCGTCTCTTCAAGCCCCGCCTTAACCCCATCATTGCCTTTGTTGCTGCAGACTCATTTGTCGTTCCCTAAGTTAAACCAGGATGAGAGTAGGCCACCCTCTCGGGACCGCTAGAAAGATGGATCAAGATTGCAGGTATCCGTAGAATCCTTGGTCCATACGAAAAGCTGGAGGCGGTGGAAGTACATGTGAGAGAGGAAAAAAAAAGGAAAAGAAAGAGAGAGAGAGAGAGAGAGAGAGAGAGAGAGAGAGAGAGAGAGAGAAGCCTCATTGAGTGCTATTAGCGACCCACGTCACAAAGTGTTTGGTATTGGAAATATACAAGACGGTCCATCGGGTAAGAAGTGAGCTAAACCGGCCGAGAAATGCCGCATTGCAAATTATCCAACCTTGGGGAACGAGAGGCGGTCGTCAGAAATCACTTGGTTCAAAAGTTGCGTCTATAGCTACTGTCATTGGACGGACTGGACGCAGGAGTGCGCGGGACTCCCGTCAGAAGCGTTTGTCGCTTCCAAGTGGTCCGCTGGAAGCAGTACCTCAGTGTGAAAAAGCCGCTCGTTGCGCGCGGTCCAAATGGAAGCAGCTGCCATGCTCTGGAAGTTTAACTAAGGTACCTCAGGTATCCACACATCAAAGTGCAAGGTAAGGTATCTTTTGTAGAGTACCTTAATTAATGGAAGCTACCTATTAATTATCCAATCCACGTTTCCTTGTCTCACACCTCACAGCCCGAAGTATCTTATTCTGGATTTCCTCGATAACAAATGTCCCTTGACATGTTACCTAAGGTAGCAGGTTCGGAGTACGGTACCTAAGATCATTTGGGAAAGTCTCCATACCTACTCTGCAATGTACTTTCCAGTTTCGCATCTGTCTGTAACTCACCGCATCATTCACCCTTCCACTACGTCGCGAGTTGTTGTCAGGCTCTTTTGCGGCTTTGCCTCGACCGACTTGCCATGACGTGCTGCATTCTCTACCCATGAGTCTCCGTCTTCCGTATGGATGTCAAATCCCACAATGAGGTGGTGGTTTGCACCATTCCATCTACGAATATAGATATTCCCTCCACTTGGCTTGGGCACCGCAGCTGCCAGCATGGTGCTTCCAGTTCCATCAATTTGGCACGAGATTGTGAGCTGGCCATGCCGCTCATCGTCGGATTTCAGCATGTTCAAGTCTTGACCCCATACCAGAAGGGCACTAATGCAACTATACGTCCACCTTGCCTGCTGCCCAACCTCCCACCAGCTTGAGTCCTCAGGTCCCCGACTTGTTTTGTGAGCTCGGTACGAAGGAGTCAGGACGCATGCGCATAGCCGTACGCATACATATTTCCTCCCAGCCAGTCGGACACATCGGTCCGCGCCGCCCTGCTCCAAGGGCCCCCAATCTACCCCCTAAGGTACTTTTGTCAGCTTTGTCCGTCGATTCTATCACATTCAACCCGTCAAGTGGTAATGCGGTGTACACGCCAGCCCAGTCTGACTCCCTCACATGCACACGCGGAGCAGTCCCATGCATGGTAAGGCGAACAGAATGAGCCTCACTATTGTCGCGTCCCCTTTGTCCCTGAACAGACTGAGGTGACCAACAAACACCACATTTTGCTTCCATACCGAATTCCACTCGGGCATCAATGACATGCCAAATCACAAACTCTCCCGTTGCCTGACACGGGTCCTACACCATTCATTCGATCGTACTTACCTATGTTCGTCAATGCAGCACCTTCTTAGCAACCCATGAGGCTATGTGACTGTCTTTCGCCATCCCTTCTTGTCCATGATGCCTACAGCGTTTAGTTGAGCAAGGCAGACAGACTGACACACGGCATAGTATGGCAGTACATTCCCAAGGATTACACGAATTTGGCTCGAGTCCATAGTACAGGGCATCTTAGTTTGTTAACCCATCAAACACGGTAGATACATTGTCTTTCTAAACGGCCTCCAAGTACAGGCGAGGCCTCGCATAACCTATCAGCGTAGCCGCTTGTATCCATCCCGCTATACACCATTAATCCTTGAGACGTTGCCCTCATTTTCCATCTTTGTATATGCTCCCCAGCGACACCGCTGAGCGTTTGGTCGCAATGCACAGTTTTTCAAGTAGAAATTCGAAGGGTGGCCCATTTGTCACGACACTTGCCGAGAGCACGAAGATACTACTCTAACAATAGCCAGGGTCGCCACCCTTATAAATCCTGAGAAAGGGGCAAACAAAAAGAAACGACAACCTAGGTTGAAGTTGAACCGTCAAGGCGAAGAAAGCGCCTTGGACCCGTTGTCGAACGCCCCGGTTTTGGTTGCAAAAACAGCGACAGCGATGGCACAGGTAACCCAAGTTTCCGAGGTCGCGCGCGGACACCATGATGTTGTATCGCGGTTCCATAAGCTCGACCCCTCGACTTTCAATTTGCCGCTCTGGGGCGCAATTCGCACCTCCAGGCGCCTGGGGGCCACCACTTACATTGCCGCTCTGATTCGCCATCGCTGCTGCCTGGGTTCGTGTCCTCGCAACATCCACGACTGAGTAGATGTAGGTTTTCGACTACTGAATGTCCCAGGAATCCTCAGCAGCGTGGCAAAACTTGCTGCAAGCAACGCTGGCGGACAAGCTGTAGTTGCTGATGGAAATCTTCTCGTCGACGAGGCCATCAGCAAAGGTATCGGCACCCTTTGCCATGGCACCAACGAAGACGCAAACACTCTCCTTGGGGGCGAGCGTGTCGATGTAATCCCGAACGTGTACCAGAGGGGCCTCGAAACTGAGCGTCACCTTGCGGCAGTTGGGCGGAAGGTGATCGGTGATGGGGTTCTGGATGACACGAAGCAGCTTCTCCTGCGAGTTGGTCGAGCGGATGGACAGGCGATGCAACAGCTGAACCATCAGACCAGCAAAGCGTTTGAACGTACGCGGGATTCGGACAGACGGCGAGACCTCAATCAAGACACCCTTGGCGGTATGAATGTATATCTGAAGCTTGCCGGCCTTGTTGATGGGGGAGTCGAGCAGGGTCAGGAGACACTAGTCAGTATGGTCAGCATGTTGGATGCAGACACGGCGGGCTAGGCGCGTTGAGGCGCAAAAGCAGTAGCACAAGCAGAGGTAAGAGTAAAAGTAAAAGCAAAAGCGGTTCGCTGGTAGTATCCAACCTGATGTGTGATATCCGGGCGCGCGTCACTAATGTCGCGGTTCATTTTGCGCATAACTCCGATATGCTCGTCGCTGTTGAGTAGCGAGTACTTCTCCTCACGTTGGACGCCGTTACGGCCGGTGCCGCCATGTGAAGCCTTGTAGGTCTCGAGACTGGCGTTAGAGAGAACGACAATGAGGCGCTGAGAATCCTTGTCGGTAGGAGGGATAGCGGTGTGCTGCTCAGCGACCAGCTGAGGGAGAGCCGGAGGGGGGAGCGACTGGGTGCCTGTTGAAAAGCGCATATTAGCAAAACCAAATCAATCAAGCAGAGCTAGCTGTGTCGGCTTGCCCTTATGCAAACTGTCTGCCGTGTCTTCCATCGTGTCGCGATCGCCTGCGTAACACTTTATACTCGATATGTAGTGTTTGGGGTAGGGGACGAGGTGAAGTGCGCAGGGCGGCGGGGTAGCTACGGCTTATAACCACGAAATGGTCCACGCAATTTGGAAGGAAGATGACTGGCGCAGAGGCTGTCCGTGAGGAAGGAGGTTCCCGGAATGACAGCGGCAGACAATCGCAATAGGGAGGAGCCTTGGACTCGGGGTATTCACTTGATGCAAGGGAAAACGTGAGTCGCGCAAGGGACGCACATTGAGAACTTACGAGGTCGCTTGACGCCAGCACGGGCCTCTGGGGAAGACATGTTGATTTTTTTTTGGGGGGGAGGGGGAAATTCGACGATCGGGTGGTAAGATTTGGCGCAGGTTTTTTCTGGCTTCTGCTTCTGTTTTCTCTTCTTGTCTCGTTACACAGACAGGAAGGTGCGTACAGCAGGCGCGTTGTTGCACACAGCGAATAATGAAGTGCGGACGGAATGAGAGAAAAAAAAGGATCAAGAATATTTGAGTGAATAGATATGAAATAGATCTGGTCACAGAGGTGAGGGGAGAGACCGTGTGAGGGTGAGGTAAATGATAAAGTGCTGAGTGCGAGTCGAGAGGGAGGAATGTTGGTTTTGAATTTTCCGACGAGCGAGGGACCAAATCTGAGGGAGGATGATTCAGGCCGAGTTGTGAGGGAAGAAGACAGACTACCATAGTTGGCTTAGTCTAAGGTGGGTGGGTGGGTGGCTTACCTTATGAGGGACACCAAAGTCACAAGTGACCAAACACTGCGTAGGTACCTACGGATACTCACCTCACTCTTCGTAAGGTAACTGCTGCTGGGGGCCCTTGGGACTTTGGGTGCGGGGTGAGCGTGATGGAAAGGGAGCTCGGATACATTACACAGTGTCGAGCTCATCTTCTCACCAAAGTGCTGCACCAAAAGCACAGTTTATGACAGTGCGAGGTCTGCATGCCAGAGGGAGGTACTTTCTGAACAGTCTCTTCGAGTGGATGTCAACAAACTCAGGCCCACCCTGCTCAAGGCAGGTAGGAAGGTATCTCTTCCATGCAATTTTTCGCACGCTCAGGTTTCTGCTCGGCTCGGGTCTCAGCCACTCGACTTTTAGCCGCTGCGGCGAATGTTTGCCGAGCCATCAAGTGCGTTATGCACAAAAGAGAAAATTAACGCTTCTTGGGTGCCTCGTCCTCTACCAGACTTGGTATCCGATCTTGTCAGGTCAGTTTATTTTGTGCGTGAAGGCTCGCCTCCTCTCAGCAAACCCGAGGGGCGGGATCCGTCTTCGTGCATCCAAACTCGCCTAGATCGGGGAATCTAGGCGTCCATGGATAGTATTGTCCTCAGTGGTTTTTACCAGTGTGAGAGGTCGGTGCCTTCAAATATCTGTGACCCATGATGCCTCGGTGAATATGCAGGAGAGAGGTGTGGCCCATAGTCTGCTGGGCGGTAGAAGTAATGAAGAGACGCTGGAACTTTAAGTTGGCCAGGCAGTGAAACAATTAGCTGCGATAGGATGAACAATGGGAGATACAAAACAAAGCCTCGGCCGTCTCGATAGCAGATATCTCTTCACATGAGTAAAACCCCTAGCTACTTACGTGGTATCCGTGTCGGCTCTCCGCATTCACATGGATACAAGGCCGGGAAGGCCTCGAATGGGCCATTAAGGATTCTTGTGCATTGTGTCAGTCTGAGGCCCTCACAGGAAGTGCTCACTGCAATCGGGCCGCAAGGAAAACGCTCAGCCTGTTCTAGAAGAGCGTATTGTGCTTTGAAGTTTGGCAGTGGCGAGTTGGATTGTCTATATATAGAGCAGAGCGGTCTGGTTCTACAGACACCTAAAACTACTTAAGTAATACTACGGCCTTTGCATGGCTTGCATCCTGATGAAGAGCTAGGCTTCTTGGATCGCATTGCACCTTACAGACACAAACACCAAGGCAGTGCATGTTCGTTCCCAGCTCGAGGGCGGGTACGCGTAGGTTTTGCTGGGGATCATAAACTCCAACACATCGGGGATGTTTGTTAGTAAAACAAGTGAAACAAACTCATAGTTCAGCTCATAGAACGAACAAAGCAAGCCCCGTTTTAGCTGTTAAAGGAGAAAGAGACACAGCAGCTCGATGAGCTAAGGTAGGCCTTGACATTGCAGACCAAAGTAAGGTATCTTACTTAGCTACCTAGGTAACTCCCGAATCCCAGGAACCAGCTGTCACAGAAAGCCACAGGCCAAGCCAAGCCAGCTCGATGAATTTAAGGTTATCTTAGCGTCTGATCTTTCCACTCTGTCGGACCCCGATCCAGTCTGAGTGTCGGCGAAAATATGGCCCGCTGAACCAATGAGAAGCTGGAAAATCAGGTCCATTTTTCGATTTTCTACTCCCTCCAGGAGTCTTGGGCATATCGTATCTAGGTCACCATCACAGCCAGCGCCCTATCCAAGGTATCACGCGACACCCTCAACAGTCCTAAGCTCACGACCTAGTTCCCGCGCGGGATTGATTCGACAGACCGAATTTGCCGCCATTGTAAATTACCCACAGCCCACCATGTCAGCCCAAACAATGGCGCAAGCGCGCGCAGTTGTACGCGAGCTCAACGGCGTCGTCGTGAGCGCCGGGCTCATGCAGAAGACGGTCAAAGTCCGAGTGGGTGGCCAGCAATGGAAGCAAAAGGTCCAAAAGGTAAGATACTGAACCCAGGAGACACCAGCCCTTGATCCGTGATTCCTACATCTTCGAGGAGACTGACCAGCCTCGACTTCCTAGATGTTTACGAAACCAACGCACTACCTCGTCCACGACCCCAACTCATCCCTTCGCACAGGAGATGTCGTTTCCATTGTTCCCGGATGGAGAACTTCACCCCATAAGCGCCACGTCGTCAAGAGCATCATCGCGCCCCACGGTACACCCATCTCAGCGCGCCCACCCGTTCCGACCGAGGAGGAGAGAATCGCGGCCAAGGTTCAGAAGAGAGAAGCCAAGGTTGCGAGACGGGAGACGCGGCGGCAGGAGAACTCTTCAAAATCGCTTCCTGAGCCCGAGGTTGACTAAGGCCTGAGTCCGGCGGAGAAAAAAAACTAAACTAAATACAGAACCAGGATAAGGTTCAGAAAGGATTACAACACAACGCTGTACAACACAAAGGAGTAGGGAAAGGGATTTGACACAGAGCACGGGGCATCGTCTTCATTTCAGTTGACGATATCCTTGGCCTAGTTTGTGGTTGGAAACGTGTAGACGAACATTCGAGGTCACCGGCGAATCATTGTACAAACACCAATGCTATTACAGTAGTTTCTTGTCTTAGCCATTTACGCAAAATATTTTGTAGAACTCGACATGTCTTGTTCCTTTGTCGATAATCAAGCGCCTCTGGAGGGTATCACTTCCACGTGCGCTCCCCAAGCCAACCGACCAATTGCCCTGTCACGCAGAAACAAAGAGAAACAAAAACACCTGGCACATCACATACCTGTTGCCCTACATCATCCACCTCGCTCGCCAAATTCCCTGGCCCAATCCTCATATTCTTTCAAGCCCGTTTTGCTCACACTCGGTCTGATAGTTGTCAGACTTGCCTCAAAGTCTGCCAATGAAATCGGTCGGATTTCGTCCATGGTCATGTGCAAAAGAGCCTCGCCCAAAGAGCGGAGCGGACCCATGGCCGCATCCTTAGCCAGTGCCGTTATATCGGAGCCCGAGAATCCTGTGCCCATGTTAGTATCAGGTCTGATAGTCTAGTCGCCTATAAAACGACAACGAACTACTCACCATCTGTAAGGAGAACGAGCCTCTCTATGTCCGCGTCGGACAAGACATGCTTTTGCTGCCCCAGAAGTGTTCGAAACTGAGTACAGCGAGTCTCGGACTCAGGCAGCGGTATGTATTGACGCCTCACAAACCTGCGCCGTGCGGCTTCATCAATAGCCCAAGGCAGATTGGTTGCCGCCAAGACAAGCACTCGATTCGCATCTCCCCTACTCTTGTCCTTTTCGTCCACGGCGCGACCCGCCGCAGCTCGCTGTAAATCGCTCCACTGAATGAGAAACTCAGTCTTGATCCTCCTTGTCGCCTCGTGCTCTCCCGACCCAGACCTCTGAGAAAGTAAGGAGTCAATTTCGTCAACGAAGATGATGCTTGGCGCCAGAGTCTTCGCCAGGGAGAACAATGCTCGGACGAGCTTTTCGGACTCGCCCAAGTATTTACTTGTCAAGCTGCTTGCTGAAATTGAGAAGAATGTCGACCGCGATTCTGTTGCTACAGCACGCGCCAGCATGGTCTTGCCCGTGCCTGGCGGACCGAAAAGCAGCATTCCTCTTGCAGGCTCCCGAAGTCCCATGAATAAGTCCGGTCGTAAGAACGGGTAAACCACGTTTTCCCTGAGTGCGTTCTTGGCTACCTCCAGGCCGGCAACATCGCTCCATCGGACCTCATCGCCCTGAACAATGATCTCGTTGAGAATTTGCTTTGCGGCTGCTTCGTCCACGCCGGTTGGCAGGTTTTTCATAATCTTCTTTTTTGTTTTCTTCCAGGCTGTCTTAAGCGAAGAGCCCTCCTTTTCATCATCGGCAGACGTTTCGGAAGAAGGGCCTTCAGCATCAGCTGCGATTGCGTTTTCTTTCCTCTTTCCCTTCCTCTTCTTGTCAGGTACCTTCGGACTTGTTTCTACGTTGTCCGAGCAACTCGAAGATGAACGGCCGCGCGACGATTGCACATTACGACGAGATCTGTCGGCTTTGTCCTGTTGTGATCCACTCGTGAGATTATTGTTGGGCCGAGTAGGTATGTCCCCGACTGGCTTCCTCCGTATTCTGGCCACGTCGGGCGTAGTCTTGCGTCGTAACTCTGACTCGTCAGCGTCAGACGATGGAGGCCGTTCGTGAGGCGACGCTTTGGATCGTGGGGCTGAGGATATTTGGTCCCTTGAACGCGAGGTCCGCTCTTGTCTTGGAGTGCCATGCTCGGCCCCTGGGGCATCTTGATAGGACATGGCATTCAAGGCACTCGATGCCGCACTCACGGACAAGGCTGATGGTCGCACTTGCGATGAATCCTCAGATGTTCTTGCGCTACCAGTCGCATCTGGGAAAGACGAATGAATTTCTCTGGGCGTCACGAGCCGTCTGGTATGTACGTCCCATTGCGTGCCTGATGAGGGCGGCGGCTTGCGGGACTGCTCGGCAGGCGTCACAGGCGCAGACGATGAGTACTCTGATACAGCTGGAGACGCTCTGGCGAGTCTTTCTCTAGAACTCAGAGCAGTCCATGCAAGGGTTGCAGCCTTGCTGGCGCC